TAACCCTGAATGTAAATGGCTTAAACTTATCAATCAAATGTCCACAGGAAAAAGCAAAAGGGTGAGAAGCTTCTGCTGCACCATCCAGGCTCCCAAGGCCCACTTACCCCAGATTTCATATTGCACCAGGCATAGTTTGTAGTTTGTACACTTCCATTGGTCTCCCTTTATATTTCCACGTCTTTCTAAAAATAATCCTTTCATCTACTTTATTTTTATAAAATTTACTTTTCCCAATGTTTTTTAAAAATTCTATTTTTAATGAAGTTTACATAGTTAATTAGGGAGAGAAGGTCAAAGACTAGGGGAAAGTGTTGAGTCCACTATTTCCACACCTTCCTTATGTTCTGGAGGGAGAGGGGAGATATGGGGAGAAGTCACACTGAGCTTCCCAAATGCCCCAGTACCCAGAGATGGAGAACAGCCACTCGACATCATCCCAGGATCCCCAGACAGGGAGCACGGCCACCAATGTCACCCCAGGATCCCTAGAGATGGAGAATGGCCACGCGATGTCATCCCAGGATTCCCACAGATGGAGAATGGCCATTGATGTCATGCTATAATCTCCAGACGGGGAGAACTGACACCGATGTCATCCCAGGATACCCAGAGATGGAGAATGGCCACCAATGTCATCCTATAATCTCCAGACAGAGAGAATGGCCATCTGATATCATCTCAGGATCCCCGATGTGGAGTGTGTTCTGAGGGTCTACGCAGTCACAGATGGGACTTTGAACCTGAGAGCACGGGAAATAGAGCACAGCACCAGAAACACCCATGGAGCAGGTGCTCCAAGAGAGAGTGGACCAGGCAGGGAGAGGACCCTCACATGCTGTGGGGAGAGGACCTCAGAGCACCAAGGGCCAATGCACAGTGTGGAGAATGGGGGAACTAAAGTGACCTCAGAATCACCATGGGGTTAATGGGGTTGGCCCCTGCTGACCCTCTCACTCATGGAAAGTTTTGAGCTCAGGTCTCCCCAGATGGCAATTATCCAGGAGAAAATAGAGAGGGATGTGGAGACAGGTGACTGGGGCTCTGTGTTCTGTGCTCCCGAGTGGGGTCACGTCAGCTCTATGCAGACACCTACATGACATCCACAGAGAGATGAGCTCAGGGCAGCCTTTCCTTAAAGTGCTGCAGGTGCTCCCCAGGTGCATGGAATCCTCTACACATGCCTGCCTGGTAAGTAGCTCTTCAGTGCACAGACAGGGACAGGCACAGCTGGGCCACTGAGCAGGGACAGAGGGGGCACCGCGCCATGGAGAGGAGGGTGGAAAATTCAGAGGAGACATCGGCCCCACTTGATTTTGTTCAGCCCAGAGAGGGTCTCTGTGGAAAGCAATGGGGAAGGCTGCTTCTTAAGAATTCAGTTCTTTAATTTCCAGATACCTAAACACTGAGGATTTTCTCAGAAAACAAACAGTTGTAGGCTTCCAGTTGTTTTTCTCACTAAGACACTTCTTGGGGACTAGCGGTAGGGAGACTCAAGTCCCATTTTGTGCTATCTTGGGAGTTTATGTTATCTTTGGAGGTGTTATTAGGCACATCCATGTGCAGAAGGAACCCATAGGCTTTAATTACTATTTCTATTAGGTATAGTGCTTTGCCTTTCTTAATTTCACCAGCCAAGTGGCACTATTACTTCTATTTTTGCTGTAGTTTTGGGCATAAATATTTTCGTATCAAATTTTAAAAAGAAAAAGAAAAACTGTAACCTCACTTCACTGAGTAAAATACATCAGTATTTTTTTCTGGAAACATTCTTTTTCCTGCTTGAATGTCACAGTTTTTTGAGTGAATGGTGACACCCTGCAGCGTGTACTCCACAAAGCAGATGACTCCAAGTGTGAGAACAGACACGATGTGCAGTAATTCCATTAAATATTAGAAATCAAGGGAAGGTGATGGAAGCTGTCACTGTGCAGCTCACAACACCCAGGGGCGCTATCTCCAAGAGCTACAGAGGGGGAGGACCTGCTTCCATCGGCCCCTTCTCTCTGCACTGTCTTCTCAACTACACCCTCTCCCAATTCTTCAGCAACCTTTCGGGCACTGGAACCTCATCCTGCCCGGTCTGGGCTTAGGCTTCAGATTCTCCACAGTGACATCTCAACACAGGACACCGTGTCCTTCTCTTGTCTCTCAGAGAGCATGACGATGGAGGAAAGGCAGGGCTGCTCAGACAGGAGACCACTCACGCCCCCACCTCCATCTCTGGTGCAGTGAGCAGGGCTTCAGCAGGATTCCTGTTTCCAGTAGGGACAATGCCCGTGGTAAGTGCTCAGGATGCCTGGCTCTACAATCTTCAATCAGTCCTCTCCCTTATCCTGAACTATAAGGCTCTGGCAATGATTCTGTCTGCAAGTATGAGTCTGGAGGTGTGCTTCACAAGCCTTTCTGTTGCAAAAATGATGGCTGGGTCTCCCCTGGGATTATTTTAGAAACAGCTGCCCAGTGTGTTTCTCCCCAATGTTCCTAGGCTCCTGCATTCCATGGCATCCTTGTACACAACCCCAACAGCCGTGCAGGGATGCTCAGTCCCACATCCACATGCACAGAGCATGGCCAATCTCACCGGCCCCCACCCTCACCCACACTCCTCTTGTCCAATTTCCCTGTAAGCCACAGCATGTAACTACAGCAAGGACCACAGGGTCAGGACGTAGACATTGAGTGTCACAATGATGGCAATCCACTGTGCACTCATTCACACATGTGAGGCTGGGCATGCATTAATGCATGCTGGGCACAAATCACACTGCGTGTGAGCACAGTTCCACTCAGGCTGCAGGCGGGAGCAGGCAGGCTCTCCCTCCCCTCGTTACCCATGGCCCTGATCACACACAAAGTCATCTGCACCCAAGAATGCCTTGGGGCTGCCAAGCGGGTTCCTCCTCCTGTTACATGACCTCAGAGGACCTGACTGGGTATGGGTCACTAACCTGGGGCCCACTGAGTCACTGTCCACCATTGGGTACTCATAGGAGGTCATGATGTGCAGAGAGACTCATCCTTGCTCCTCCTGGGGAGTCTCCACTGAGCTGCAGTAGTTCTGACTGCATCCTCAGCCTCCCCATCAGCTCCAACAGGGGGTGTCCACTTCCTCCTTCCTTTGTACATGCTTCTTTCTGGAAACTGACCACTTTGCTTTCCCTCCTGTTCCCCACAGTTGCTCTTCTTAGGAATTCCACATCGTTCTCCCTGTGATGTGTGTCATTTTGTACTGATGTCAGACCTCTCTGAGGACCTCCTGTGTATAAACAGCAATTTTAATGCACACACGGTACGTTCTGCCTGATTTCCTCAATATGAATGCCACCTCTTGCCTTGTGTACATCCCCACTTTTCCTAAGACACTGATGTTTGTGGCACTACTCGCTCTTAAGTAACACTGGATGTAGGAGGTCACAGCCAACTAACTACACAGTGAGCTTCACACCATTTGTGTGCAAGTCTTAAAATCCAAATGAAACTGAATTAAGTAAAAGCTGGATTTCACAGAAAATTTCAGAATACCTGAAACATGTTATTTATGCACCACTAATGTGCAACCACTTTAAATTATTAGCTTTAAAATTATCAGTACATATGTAGCTCATAGGTGGTAAGTGTACAAAACTGAGCATATGCCATCTGCAGTGACATAGACGAGATCACCATTGCAAGTGATCACATGCAATCCGGAAAGCTTGCAGACAGATGCTCTTCATCTAATGTTGTTCTTTATCTTCCTCCAACAGCATTATTTAAGTAGAGTTCAACAATCATTTTTAAAGATCTTGACTTTCAAATGGTGTTTATTTGTTACAGTGTGACTGGAAACAATTGTAAATGGTATATGTCCCCTATTTAAATAGAGAATTGAAGCAAAAAAAAAAAAAGGTGCTTTCAATAAGACGTATTCCACCAACAGACATTTTCAATTACAACTTCTGGAGTCTATGGAAATACTGATCTCCAGAGACAGGGATGAAAGCTTGGATTCCTATGGGGATCCATTTGAGGGGGAATTCATTGGTTGGTCATCTGTTCTGTATTTAAGCCTTAAAACAGGATGGTCCTGAAGCTGCTCCTTCCACATTCTACATTGCACATGCATGATTTTAAATGAGAAGATGTTCCTGCTAAGAGTTGATAACTGGGCTCTGCTCACAAAAGCCACTGCTTCATGACATCCAGGTAAGACATGTAGCTATCTTTTGGAATTAAATGGAAAAACTTAAAATTGTATCAGAGTTCTCTAATCTAATATTGCCAAAATGTTCTGCTATTCTTGAATTTTTCTGACCCTCTCTCCTTTAGCAGAAACAGTGTTGATCAATTATTAAAGAGTTATATTAAGGGCCCTACATCACATACATGAGGACCTGGATAAGAGAAATATTTCCAAGATGACAGTTCTAGGTCACCACTATGTTTCAGATCGACTTCTATGTTTGGTATGTACACTTCAACTGTTGCTCCATTGATGCATTAGTAACACATGGCGTGTGTCCCCTCCATCAATTCACACTGAGAATGTTGGAAATGATGTGGAGTGAAACAGGGCATTTCTAGAAACCAGGGCTTCCATCTGGGTCTGACCCCGGATTTCAGTGATCCAAACACATGAGCCACCACTTACTGCCACATTTTCAGGAAGATGGAATAGAGAGTAGAGTTCTAGGCACGCTGAAATGGGATGCAGGTATCCCAAGAGGTCTAGCTTAACAGCTACTCCAAACACCTGACCTTGTAGTAATGGCAATATTTAGTGCAGAGGGAAGATGATCAAGTGTGGAGTCCAACAATGCTGCACATAATGCAGCCATGACAAAGCAGAGGTGGCCTCAGGGCTGTGAGGCACGTTTGTGTGTCAAATGCCAGGAAGGATGCTCAGGTACTGATCCCCACATTTTACTGAAGACAGCAATGTTACTGGAGACAGATGAAGGTACCAACATTTGTGATGAAAAAATATTTCTCATTTTCTCCTCAGACACACACTAAATGTTTCTTTCACTTTCCCTATGGATAAAAATAACAACATATTCCAAACCATTGACATGAGATACACCTACTACACTGAAGTCAGCATTGGGATCTTAGCCAATGCCTTCCTTCTTCTCTTCCACATCTTCACATTCTTTCTCCAACACAGACCCAAGCCCACAGACCTGCCTATTGGTCTCTTGGCCCTCATCCACTTGATGATGCTATCTGTGGGGATCAAGGCTCGGGGAATGTTTGAATCTCAGGGTATCTGGAATGACTTCATGTGTAAAACAATCTTCTACTCCTACCGGACACTGCGAGGCCTCTCCCTGTGCACCACCTGCCTGCTCAGTGTCCTCCAGGCCATCACCCTCAGCCCCAGGAGCTCCTGGTTGGCCAAGTTCAAACAGACCTCCACACATCACAACCTGTGTTCTCTTCTCATCCTGTGTTTCTTCTATATGTCCATTAGCAGTCACCTCCTCACCACCATCATTGCCACTCCCAATTTCACCTCAGAGAGTCTAATGTATGTCACTGATTACTGCTCTGTCAGGCCCATGAGCTATTCCCTAAGACAAACAGTTTCCGCGTTGGTGTCCATGAGAGATGTCTTCCTCACAGGGCTCATGGCCCTCGCCAGTGCCTACATGCTGACCCTCCTGTGCAGGCACAGGAGGCAGTCCCGGCACCTTCATGGCACCAGCCCTTCTCCAAGAGCCTCCCCAGAGCTGAGGGCCACCCGCACCATCCTGTTGCTCCTGTGCTTCTTCATGGTCATGTCCATTCTCGACTGCTTTATCTCCTCCTCAAGAGTCCTTTTGAACAATAGCCAAATTCTTCACAGTGTCCACACTATCGTGGCCTACAGCTATGCCACCATGAGTCCTTTGGTGTTCATCAGTACTGAAAAACGTATAATTACCTTTTGGAAAACCAACTGGGGAGGTGGGAGTCAATGTTTCATTGTTCTCACAGATAAGGTCTCTGAATGAGCCACTGCACTGGCTTCATGATGTTCTATTGTAACATCCAGTGTATGCTGTCTGGGGTAAGAATACTATGGAGTTAAGCTTGACACCTGGATTTATTTGTTTTGATGCATGCACATAACAAGTCATAATAGATGATGGGACTATGTACTTGTGCAAGCTGACATAAGAGAACTTTATGTATGAGTGGCTCCTCAAGACAGAGTTGTGAGTTTGATGTCACTTGTCACTGCATGGTGTGATTCACATAGTCACAGATTTAGTAAAGTTCAAAGTACTAAGAATTCAATAGTGATCTGTACATTGCCTGACTAGGTATCTAATCAGGTATTACCATAAATTCCCATATTATCCGGCAATTTTACTTCTGTATGTATATGCAAAATTGTATCGAATAGAAACTCTCACACATTTATTTGTTCATCAATACTCAAAGTAGCATTATTACAACAATCAAAGCAACCCAAAAAACCCAAGCATGTGTAAATAAATTATAGCTTGTACAAACAGTGGAATGTTATTTAGTCTCAAACAAGAAGGAAATTCTGCCACATGTTTCAATACAAATGAGTCTTGAAGCGACTATGCTAAGAAAAATCATTCTGTGCCCAGTGGCGTGGCCTAGCAGCCAAAGTCCTCACCTTGAATGCACTGGGATCCCAATGGGCGCTGGTTCTAACCCTGGCAGCTCCACTTCCCATCCAGCTCCCTGCTTGTGGCCTGGGAAAGCAGTCGAGGACAGCCCAATGCTTTGGGATCCTGCACCCGTGTGGGAGCCCTGAAGGAAGTTCCTGGCTCCTGGCTCCAGATTGGCATAGCACTGGCCGTTGCGCTCACTTGTGGAGTGAATCATCAGAGGGAAGGTCTTCCTCTCTATCTCTTCTCCTCTCTGTATATCTGACCTTGTAATAAAAATATTAAAAAATAAAAAAGTAATTTAAAAAAAAGAAAATCATTCATTCACCAAAGAACAGTCCATCTTTCAGTCTCTTTGAATAAAGTACCCAGAAGCTAATGGAAGGGAATGGATGCTCTTATTTAAAGAACTAGAGTTTAAGTTCAGGAAGATGAAAAAGTCCTGGAAATGAATATTGCTTGTGGCTGTATAACAATTCGAATGTACCTAAATTTACTGAACTGTACAGATAAAATTGGTTAAAAAGGTAGATTTTTTAATGTGCACTGCATTAATAATAAAGAAGTTTCTGATTATGTTCCAGACTATAGTAAAAAAAAAAATGGTTATCAGAAGCATAAAAGGCAAGACTTTTAATGCACTAACACGTAAGTTTTCAAAAGTTTCTAAATAGTACATTAAATTTGTTTCAAACAGTAATTTGAAGATTATTCCTTAGTGGCTCAAATCTTACTTCAAATTGCTCCAATGGAAGTCAAGGCATTTGTGCTGTGGTTCCAATGAGAACCACTCTGTTTTGATATGGGAAATGTTCACAGTGACTTTGGCACTTGTATTCACAGAACATTCTGACACTGTATAAATGATGCTACATTGGGCCCAGCGCAGTGGTGCAGTGGTTAAGGTCCTCGCCTTGCACGTCCAGGATCCCATATGGGTGCTGGTTCTATCCCGAAGGCCCCACTTCCCTTCCAGCTCCCTGCCTGTGGCCCAGGAAAGCAGTCGAGGATGGCCCAAAGCTTTGGGACCCTGCACCCACATGGGAGACCCAGAAGAGGCTCCTGGCTTCTGATCAGCATAGCATCGGCCGCTGCGCTCACTTGGGGTGTGAATCATCGGACGGAAGATCTTCCTCTCTGACTCTCCTCTCTGTATATCCGGCTTTCCAATTAAAATAATAATAATAATAATAATAATAAATTATTTTTTAAAATGATGCTACATAACATGCTTCAGCATGGTAAGAACACATAGTTTAGGCAATAAATCAGTACATAGAAAATTATGTAACTCTGGAAAGAATTCATGGGAAGAACATTACAGAGGAATAGTATGTTTTACCTAGAAAAAGAGAAAAAAAAACCTATATGTAAAATAATATTGGAGGTTTATGTTTTCCTGGCTGAAAACATCATATGGAATTAATTACATAGACAAATCCAGAGAACAGTTACAAAACCAAAGCCATGTATGTTCTATTGCCTAGTAAGCAAGCATATTACAGAAAGCTCATGGGAAATTGAATTAAATGATAAGTTCATTTTGACGCAAGAAACCCTTATATCTATGCATATGCAGCGTTATAAAAAGTTCATGAAACTACATATTATATAAAACCAACAGACTTAAAAAATCTTGCTGTGAAACCAAACAGCCTTTAATTTAGTTTTTCCAGGAAGTTTTCAAAAACCAGTCTCCATATTTTGAACTGGTAATTTTGCCTTTAGGATTGTAATCTAAAGTCGGTTCCAATTGGAATAAGAATAGCTGCTATCATTAGGGAAAAATGATGCAATATGCAGTTTCTAAATGTAAAGTATTCAAAAGATGCCTAAGAACCCCTGAGGTAACACAATAGGATTCTGTCTAACTGATTAACATGATAGAATACCAGAAACATTAAGAAAGAAAAACACAACTCAACTGAAGACAAGAACAGACACTTCATAAAGTAAGATATCCAGGTAACAAGTAAGCAGGTGAAAAACTGCCTAACATCATGTGTCACCAGGGAATTGAAATGAAAACTAGAATGAGGTTCCACTTGAACACTCACTGTTATGTCATTCCTCACAACCAACACCACCATGACAGATGCTGGTGAACTTGCAGAATGCAGGAATTCTCGTTAACAGTAGTGGCAATGGAACAATCTCTGTGCAACACAGTAGCCAGCTTGTTATCCTTACACAGACTTAACTATGTCCCAGTAATTATATCTCCAGAATTACCTAACAGATTTCAAATCATAAACACTGTCTATAAGAAAGTTTGAAGTAGCTTCCTGCATAGTATAAGTTGAAACCAATCAGGACACACCAGCAGAGGCAAAAAAAAGCCACTGCTATCTCTCCTTATACTTTCTGTTTAGCAAAGAGGAGTAGGTTAATGGCTCAGGAGGCTAATCAGCCACCTTTAAGCACTGGCATCCCATAGGGGCACCAGTTCATGTCCCGGCAGCTCCATTTGCAATCTAGCACCCTGCTTATGATCTTGGAAATCAGTGGAGCATGGCCCAAGTGCTTGGACCCATGCACCAACATAGGAAACCTAAAAGAACCTTCTGGCTCTGGCTTCAGATAGGCTCAGCTATATCCATTGTAGCCATTTGGGGAATGAACCAGTGGATGGAAGATTTTTCTGTCTCCTCCTCTGTAAAATCTGCCTTTCAAATAAAAATAAATAAATCTGTAAAAAATATGCCCTACTACTACACTTTTAATTGTCAGTGATTAATTCATATTAAATAATTATAGAAATTATTATATTAATTGTATACTAATCATATTTTTCTATTATTACTATATTACATAATATTGCTGTGTTGTTATTGAACATCAATATAATAATTAAAAGTTAGTGAAATGGACATTTTTCTATTAAATTATTTGCAGTCATTATCTGTGTCCCCACTAAACTAATGTCTTCCTGGCTTTTACTTATTAAAATTCTTATTAGAATGCATGATGAAGAGATTGATTAAATGCATGAAAATTAATTTTGTTAAATGAGTATCAGATTACTCAACACAAGAAGCAACTGCGTGAATGAAGAAAATCCATACATGACATAGATGCAAAGTTTTCCTGAGAAACTGGGATTTTGAAGAAAAAGTCAACTGAAATATTAGGAATGAAGAATTAACTAAGTTAAATAAAGTCTTGACAAGAGACATGGTGAGGCAGAAGAATCTCTGAAGTAGAAGGAAAATCCCTGGGAAAATCTCAAACAAAAAAACAACAAAGAAAACACCCAAAATTAGTGTCCAAAATGTATGAGATTCTTTAAAGAGACAGAGAGCTAAGTAGACATGGATAATCTCTCAAAATTTGGTCACAAGGATAAAGAACATTGAAACAGATCAATCATAGGGCACAGGAGAAATCCGTAATACAGAACCTCCCAGCAAAGAGAAGCCGAGGACCCAGATGGTTTCACTGCTAAATTCCACCAAACTTTTACAAATGAACCCATTCCAATTTTTCTCAAACTATTCAAAGCCAATTGAAAGGAAGGAAATTTTCCCAAACTATTCTATTAGCATCATTTTGACTCCTAAACCAGAAAAACATATAATGAAGAAAGAGATCTATAGACCAATATCCCTGATGAACATGGATGCAAAAATCAACAAAACATTAATCAGATCATTTGTCTGAACCCAATGGGAATTTATCCTTGTGATGTGGGGATGGTCCAACATATTCAAATCAATCCATGTGATACAACACACCAACAAACTGAAGAATAAAATTATACTGTCTTTATACATATGAGAAGTCACTTGATAAAACACGATTAAAAAAAAAAGCCTTAGGCAAACTGGGCATAAGGGTAGCCAGGAGGAAAAAAAGACAATGACACAAAGTAAGACATATCAAAGAGAAGTCAGCGTTTCACTGAGAACTTACTGTCGGGAGTTCTTACAACTTTTCATGAAGGCCGATTTCCTTAAGGAGCAAATTGTTAAGACTTCTGTGTTGGGTCTGGGCAATAGCCTAGTGGCTAATTTCTTTATTTAGTGGCTAAATTCTTGCCTTGCATACACCAGGACCCCATATGGGTACCAATTCATGTCCTGGTTGCTCCATTTCTCATCCATCTCCCTACTTGTGGCCTGGGAAAGCAGAAGAGGATGGCCCAAGGCCTTGGAGCCCTGTACCTGCATGGCAGGCCTGGAAGAAGCTCCTGGCTTTGGATCAACTCTGGCTATTGTGGCCACTTGGGGTGAGAACCAGGAGATAAAAGATTTTTCTCTCTGTCTCTCCTTCCCACTGTAAATCTGCATTTCCAATAAGATAAATAAATCTTAAAAAAAAAAAGAAAGAAAAAGAAAAAACCTCCCTGTTCCATCCCTATCATGGAA